CACAATGGTTGAACTAATTTACATTCCCACCAGCAGTGTAGGAGGGTCCCCCTTTCTCCACAACCTCGCCAACATTTGTTGTTGGTTGTCTTTTCGATGATGGTGATCCTTACTGGTGTGAGGTGATATCTCACTGTGGTTTTAATTTGCATTTCTTTGATGATTAGCGATGTGGAGCATCTTTTCATGTGTCCACAGGCCAATTTTCTTGCCTCCTTCAAACCTCTGCTCAAATGTTAGTCTAAAATGGCCTACCCTGACGATCCCACCCATTCTGCTCTACTTGTTCTATTTTCCATTGTATTTATCACTTCATAACATTACATCTTAAACATGCTTATTGTCTAATAGTAGAGGAGCTAGAATGTGAGGGATCGTTTTCTTCTGTATTCCAAGTGCATAGTATCCATAGTTTGCACTCACTGAGTATTCACAGACCCTTTTGCTAAACCAGAGTTTGGCAAACTATGGCTGGTGGATGAACTCTAGCCTAGAAATTTCCTTTTTGGAAATAAAACTTTAGAACACAGCCATGGCCATTTGTTTACACATTGTCTATGGCTGCTTTCCCACTACAACAGCAGACCTGAGTAGTTGCAGCAGAGACTGTATGCCCCCCAAAACCTAAAATATTTGTGATCTGGCCCTGTTCAGAAACAGTTTACCAATCTCTACATGATTCTGCTCTATGTGATGATTCTGATGCCTGTTCAAGTTTGACAACCACTGATCTAAACATTTATATTCTTACAGGCAACAAAAAATGTACATGTGAAAGTTATTACTAAGAAGAAAACTGTAAAAATAATTCCTTTAAAAAAGGATACACGGTATGATTCCAGAAAAAACCTCAGATGGATGTACGCATACAGAAAAGATGAACAAGATACCCATAAAAATACTAACAATAGTTATTTCTAGGTGATGAAGCCACAGAGTAATTCTTTTCCTTTTCTTTTCTAAATTGAACACATATTACTCTGTAATCTAAAAAGAACAGGCCTCTGATCTTTCAATGGTATCATCTATAAATATCTCCTTGTCCAGCCTACTCCTCACCAGGTGCCCAGGCTCTGGAACCTGCCATTAGCTCTGCTCCCCATGTTTCTTGTAGGAACTGTTCTTTCTTCCTAGCCATCTAGTCAGGAGCCACGTGGTAAAAGCATGGTCTATGGAGCCAGGCAGACCTGGGTGGAATCCCTACTTTTTATCTATTGTGTAGTCTTGGGTAAGTTATTCTGAGCTTCAATATATTTATAAAATAAGGATAAAACCATTCTCTTTGTAAAGAACCACAGAGGAACTTACTAGAATGTAGATGCCTATCTCCCCACCCTCATTCAGATTCAGCAGGTCTAAGTGGTGGCTCAGAATTCTGTACTTTGATACGGTCTCATAGGCCAGAATCAGGTACCAGCTGATTCTGGGTAGGCCTGGGCCTGAAGTTTTTTAAGATTAGAGGTGTCAGTGTGAAGTGCTTGTCACCTGTACATGTAGTGGGTATTTAACAAACGAAGCCATCAAAGGACTCAACTCAGAGTTAAGTAATTTTGCACAATGTTCCAGGGCTAGACGGGGGCAGATCTGCAACCCAAACCCAGTTCTTCTGACTCCCTGTGCCTTCAGAACACTTTGATGGCACCTGGCTATCTATCAGTGCAGGTTTCCTGTGATTAGAAGCTGGACTCCTGGCTGGCTCCTCACTTCAGAGCTGTGGTTGTGGCCATGACAGCTTTTCCTAACCTCAGGCTGCCTTCTAGGGATTTGAGACTCTTTAGGTTTAAATGCTAGCGCAGATCCTTCTAGGGATAGAAAATATAGTATTAGCTAACATTTTTGGAGCACTTCACATTCACCCTTATTTCAGAGATATGTAACAAGCTTAGAATTGACGGACTATGGTAATACACACTTAATATATAGTAGCTGTCATATCATCATTGGTATTGCAAATAAAGGAATCTGCTCCTAGGATCCTCACAAGGAACAAGGAGGCAGCTCTGCCTTGTGAGGTAGCAACTGTCTGCCCTGCCCCCACACTCTCTTTGGGCTTTGGCCTTGACTTACCTTTCTTTCCATTGTTGGAAGGTGTAGACTTCCCACTGTCTGAGTTCAGCTCAAACACCCTTAAGTCTGTGAGCACCTCCTCCCTCAGAGTCTCTACTCTGGCTGGAGGCCTGGGCTCTGGGCCGCTCAGGCGGCCAGCAGGGATGGGGGGCTTGGACTGAGCTGGGGGCGGGGGTCCAGTCTCGCCCACATCCATAGCCAGACCCTGTTCCTCCAAAGATGCCTCCAGAAGCCTTTGGGACAGGTCCTTGGGCAGCGCTGGTGCCTCAGGCGCAGTGGCAGGGTTGACGATCTCTGTCACGAGGGAGATGCTCTCGCTGCTCTCTGACGGAGTCGCCTCTGTTGGAGGCTCAGCTGGAGTCACCAGCGTCTCATCATGGGGTCTCTGGGGGCCAGGTCCTTCAAGGGATGTGGAAATTTTGGCCACAGGAACCTTTCCCTGTTTTGGAAATGTGGGTGAAATGCCCACAAGCTCCTCTAGTGAGAGAGAAAGGTAAGGAAAGAAGGCAGTGTTCCCTGATGAGCCCCAAGAGAACTTGAGAGCTCTCTGAAGACAGACCTCAGGCTTTTCCCCCAGTTTACTCTGGGCAGCACTAAGGGGTGCCCGCTTCCTCACCCTCTCCCCATCATGGTTCTTCTGCAGATACCCCGGTCAAAGTCTCTCCTACCCGGGAGGCCCAGCACATGTCTGACGGGCACTCGGCTTTCAGCAGCACAGCCCGGGATGACATGATAAATTAGGAAGCCGAGACTTGAAAGTAAATCAGTTTTGGGTTCAGGCTGGCCTCTGCTACATCCTGGATGTATGATATTGGGCAAGTCACTTAACTGTCTCATTTGTTTAAAAAAAGGGGGATAATGAAGTTGTGGCAAAGACTACACATGTATAAAGCTCTTAGTACAGGTTGGACATATACGCACTTAAGTGTTAACATGCAGGTGGCTGCAAAACACCGTCTTAAACTGAGCTACCAGGTAGAAGATGCTTAGCTTCCTCCCTAAGCCAGTGGTTCCCAAACCTGGCTGGGCATTAACACTATCAGAGGTGCTTGTTAAAAATACAAGTTTGGCCACATGTCCACAGAGTCTTATTTAGAAGAGAGGAAATGAAATCTGGAATTTGAATAAGCATCCAGGTAACTCTGAAGTAGCTGGTCCAGGGGCTGGCAGGGGAACATGCTGCTACGGACACATGTGATTTCTGTACCTAAACCTGGAATTCCACAGCCTTGGTAAACACCTCCCTGTTAGCTCAGCCTATCCTCAACACATACAAACACTGTACTCATTCTCTACTCTTCTCTGGGGTGCCAAGTCTCCTTGGGATTCAGAGAGAATGGCCCAGGCAGTCTCCCACAGGCAGGACCTTTTACTTGCCCATTGCCTCTCAATACCTCTTACCTTCTTCCTCTTCCCAGCCAGGCTCTTCGGAGATACTCTGTTCTGCCCGCTGCTTCAGGGCATCCCTCCGGGCCTGCTCCTGAGTGTGGGGAGGAGCAGACGGCCAGGAGCAGTCAGGACACCCTCTTTCCAGACTCTGGTCTGGACTCTAGCACTCTTAGTATCCTGTGCCCCTTCTTCCCTCAACGAAATCCAGCCCACTTCCCACCAAGGCTGAGTGGGGTGCCTCCAAGGGGTAGGCCAGCATACCTGCTCTAGTTGATGGACTTTATAGAAATAGCGATGCCAGAATTCTGAATGGGAAACAGCTGCTGGGACCTGGAGGAAGGGGACAGTGGAGATGAGACTTTGGGAGTGGTTGTGTGGGGTCTGTGCACCAGCCTTATCAGCCTGTTCCCAACTGTTCTGGATTACAGACACGGTTAAGTGGCTGAGCAGTGATTCTCAGAGCACTTCCACCCTCCCCACAGCCAACCCCCACCCCGCCCAGACCCACCTTCCTGGCCCAGCCTGGCCTAGGAGGGAGAAAAGAACTCCCATCAGGCCTTGCTGGTGAGTCAGTTTCCACTATGTGGGTTCTCTGCTCAGGACTTGGCTGGTCTGGCTCTACAGGATCTCTCACTGCTCTTTGGGCCAGACGACTCCCCAGTGACTCTGACATGTCCCTCCCACCTCCCGACACCTCAAGCTGGGAGCTGGCTGAGGTCCTTGCCAGTTGGGTCCCTCACCATCTTGGTGTAGAGGGCCCGGATGGAAGGGCTTCCCACAAGGAGCTCTGAGATCTCCCCCTTCTTCTCCTCCAAGCAGAACTGGGAAAGCCAGGCGTCAAACAATTCCGGGGGCCCTGCAGAGGGACAGACACTGATGGTCAGTTCCCTGAGTCTGGGGGAAGAACACTGGGCCTACAGAAAACATACCTAAGCCTGGACATTGACAATGACAAAATCTTAAGGTTTCTTTCAAAGCTACTTGGTCCAAGATGGGGATGAAAGGGTGGGTGGGTCTCACTGATATCAGGGCGCAGCACCTAAATGATCTCCAGAAGGGGCTGCAGTCTCCTTTTTCTCATGTTTGCTTTTTAAAAACTGCTTGCTTTTTAGCAGCTGGTTATTGAATCCCCTCTGCTGAAACAGCTGTTCTCAGGTCACCAGTGACCCCATGTTGCCAGATCCAGTGGCTACTTCTCTGCCCTCCTTCATGGGACTGCTCCACTTTCTGACCCTGGGAGCCACTGCTGTCCTCCTGAAGCCCCTCTCTCTCCTGGCTTCTCATTCTTTTGTGATTTTCTTCCTACCTCTCTGTTACTCCATGTGATCTTTAATGAGCTGGGCTCTTCTTTTTCCTTTCCTTGCCTTTTCTCATTCTCTATTTTCTCTTAAGATAGCTGCCACTAAATCATGAGTTTCAACCTCTCTCCCCAACTGACAATTCTTGTTACAGCCCCCGCTACCTTCTGGGCTCCAGATATGGGGGTCCTGGTATCCGCAGGACACCTCCACCTGCACCTGCACAGGGGCAGCAAACCCAAGGTGTGTTCATTTTCTTCCCTCTCCAACCTGTCCCACCCAGTTCTCTGCCAAAACCTGGGGCCATCCTAGTCTCCTCCCTTAGCCACTCTCTGGATTCCACTTCCTCAGTCTCTTTTATGCACACCTTCCTCCTCACTCCACCTGCCACTTCCTAGGCTCTGGTCTTCCCAGTGCCATGGCGACTCTTAACCAGCCTTCAAACCTGTCTGCCCATCTTTTGTCCCTCTCTATGTCACCCTTCTCAAACCATGACCGAAGGCTCTTCAGTAGTTCACCACAGGGGGGCTTTTTAAACTAGGGTCTAAAGATGGACTTCAAAGAGTCAAAGAACTCCCATATTACAAACAAAATTTTGTGGAGAGAGGGCTTGTCATTTTCAACAGATTTTCAAAGGCCTTTGTGACTAAAAAATGGTTAAGAACCACTACTTTGAGCCTTGCACAACAAAATTCAAACTGCTAGTCCGGCACCCAGAGCCCTTCTAATCTGGCTCCAACCAGCACTCCTACTGCCCTCACTCCCACAATCCCCCTTTAATCCAGCCTTCCCAAACACCTAGATGTGGAACACCTCCCCCCACTTCTAAAAGAAAAATTAATTTGCTTCTAATTCATCCTTAAAAACGTCAATTCCAGTGTCACATCCTAGATTCCCCAGGCTGGGCTGGGTGCCATCCCCTGGGCTTCCCCTGCCGCCCTCTTTCTGTAGAAGCAGTCATTCCATCTCTGGTATCTTTGCTTTATTCACTGTTTCCTGTTTCTCTCCCAACAGCAGGCTCCCGGAGGTCTGCACTAGATTGAGGGCTTGACTAATTTCTGATCTCCAGTTCCCAGCCTGTGGTTTGCTGCACACCAGGGACTTAGCCAACAGGCCCAGAAGGGAAGGCAGGCAGGGCAGCGGGGCTGGGAGGGAGCCTGAGCTGCAGATGAGGGAGGGAACAAGCCCCTGTAGGCAGGGATCAAGACAGTCCCGGCTCAGGGAGGAAGAGGGGCCGTCAACTCTCCCACTAGATGGAAGGTACACACTAACCCCACTCTGGTCCCTCTGCACAGGGGGTGCCTGGCCACTGCTTCCAGAGACAAACAGGGCACATGGCCCAGACCCCTTGGTCTCCCTGCCCTGCAAGCCCGCCCTCTCACCACTACCTCCTCACCATCTGGTTCATTGCAGTAAGTTGCTGGGTCTGACTGCAGGCTATAGAGGCGAGCCTATAAGAAACAGAGAACAGAAATTCTGGGGTGCTGGGCACAGAAAGCACCCCCTCTCTGCTGAGTACCTAATCAAATCAACCACAGCCTAGCTTCTTCCCTGTTGATTGCCATATCCACAGGACACTTGTCAATTAATACTGTGGCTAGGGAGTGGGGCATTGGGCTAGGAGTCCAAAACTGGAGCTCCCAGAAAAATGGTCTTTTGCCCAGTATTCCACCCCTGGGAACTAGGAAAATACAGTATAAGTAGGCTACGAAGTTATCTGTACAGACTGCTTTTGGATTATATGAAATTTCAAAAATTTTAGTGCAAACATATTAATAAAGTCCAAATTTATGGGCAGCTTGAAATTATATAACTCCCCCAAATTAAAACCATTCATTAAGAATTCCTTCATTTCATAGCCAGTCTGCTGAGTGAACTGTAAGCTGTGCTCCTATTAGGGCCACAGGAATAGCAAACTTCAAACAGAAAGCCCTTCCTTCCTTCCTCAGTATTAGGTGAAGCATGGCCAGGCTGGCTGCACTGGCAACTTCAGCAAGTGGTTTGGGGGATTCATTGTTGTTATCATTTAAAAAATTTCACATTTCCCCTCAAATGTTCACAAAGTGATGGTGCTAATTAATACCAGTGCTGAAAGCATGCTTGAAAAATCAAAGTTTAGAATGGAAATTCAGTGTAAATTAGTAAAATGCTGTGAAGAAGGCCACACTTCTAGGATATCACACTGAATCTAGGAGAAAATACTCCATGAAATATGAGAAGTAATGATGGGAAAATAAAACATGATAGAACTATACCACTGTTGTTGACTTAAGTGCTTTGAAGATACTTTCCCCCATACAGTTATTTTTATTGGAAATTAGTCTTAAATAACCCAAATGTGGAGAAAACCATGCCTGAAAAGATGCTCCCTACAGCATTTCTTATTATGGTTGAAATATGACAGGAAATAACTAAGTCACGCTATATTCACTTCAAGAATTTAAAAACATTAAAAATGATAGTGATTAAGAATAATGCTAATAGCTTACTATAAAGTATTTTAAGATAAAATTGCATGTATAAAGTACCTTTTTTGTTAAAAAGAAAATCTCAAATTATCTTTACCAATGTTTGCAAAGAAAAAGAACTGGAAGGTTATACATGATGAGATTATGGATTCAGAAGAAATTCTCTTCTTGCTTATCAGTATCCCCCAATTTAGTCATATACATATGTTCATTTCTTAGCCTGTACTTGTATTGCTTTTGAGAGTACAGGTTGGAAGCTAGAGTCCAGTGCCGTTTGGCATCTGCAGGGGAGGCTGCTAATGAATACCTTGGTGCCATCATAGGGTTCAGCTGTGCCTGAGGGTGTCCCCATCAGGGTGATGACATCGCAGTCAATGGTTTTGTCCGGTGAGGGAGCAAAGGTATCAGAGATCACTCCTAGGAAGTCAGATAACCCCTTCTTCATTTTCTCTGTCGCCCCAGAGGAGCCTTCAGTCTGCAGAAAGAAGCCAGCAGAGGAAGCAAGTGGCCCAGGGACAGGCTGCGATATGGGGCAGAGCATATGGAGGGGAGGGGCAAAAGTGTGCTTCATGTGGGAACCAGGGAAGTGCTTATGACCCCTTACCCCATCTCTGGGGCTAGAGGAGAGAGAGGCAGCCAGGGTACCCATCCCCCAGATAGGGGTGTGGAACAGGGCCACAGTAGGCCGGGGCAGGTCAGAGCAGACCTCCTTGACCAGCTCTTTCATCAAAATTTCCAGGTTAGTCAGGCTGATCAAAAATTGACAGGAAAGGATCCATGCCATGGACATTCAGTGGGGCAGTGGACCTATGAGCAGTGATAGGAAAGGTACTAGTTTTGGAGTTAAACTCGGATTTGAATCCCAGTTCTACAACTTGTTGGTTATGAGACATAAACCTTCTATGAGTCTCAGTTTCCTTATTTGTAAAATGTGGATAAACTCCTTCCTTCAGAGGGCTGCTGTGAAGATTAAAAGGGATAAGGCATGTACAATGCTTGACCCATGCCAAACATTTAACAAATAGTATTGTGGCATTACGATTTCATCATCGTTGCTCAGGAAGTAGAGTATTTTGTACGAAAGGTTGAAGAAATATGGGCAGGATGAGAACAGATAGCCTTGCCTAGAGGCAAACCTAGGACCAGCTAAGGGCCAACGTATGTACCTCCTAGAAGGGCAAGTGGGACACCAAGCTTAGCCACGTTGGTCAGAATGCCCTTGAGCAAGCAGGGGTGGGATGCTCAGAGACATGGCGAGGCTCTAAAAACCTCATGGAAAACTGTAATACTACTGATTAGGCTGCTCAGCCATTTTAAACCTAGAACTTATCATAGTGCTTGGCACAATGTGGCATGGCTATACACTCATATTTGTCAAATGAATAAAAGGAATAAATAAATGAAAGAAACAAGTGGTGTCTCTGCTACTGGCTGGACTTAAAGCAGTTCAGCAGGACAACTACTTATCATTCACGCTCATCAGTTGCTGTGGTTGGCAGGCAGACGGTATTTTCTAAGATTCAACAGAATAAGCTTGGCTAAAAAAACTCCAAAACATGTTTTTTTAACATGGCCTTTAATCACAAGGCAACTGATTCAGCTGGTGACCAAATGAAGAAACAGCAATCTGTTCTAATATTACAGGAGAAACTGTAACACAAAACCAGTATACTGTGCTTCATGGGAAATGCAGGGTTATCTGTGACCGTACAATTTTTACTTGACACAATGACTTTAGAATCTAACTATCTCAAGAAGATTCCATTATATATTTTTGATTAACAAAAAATGGCCAGTGAGAACATAAGTTGGCACAACCTTTCTGGAGGGAAGTTTTGCAATAAATATCAAAAGGCCTGAAACTGTACTTACCCTACAATCCCTTCCAATATTTTCTTGTAAAGAAAGTATCAGGGGCAAAGATTTAGCAATAAGAATATTCACTGTAGCTGTTTACAATACTGGAAAAAAACCGAAATAGGAAAGCAGGGACTGGTTAATCCACATAATACAACACCACACCATTTATGATGCTGTAGAATGAGGTTTACAATGATTAAGCCAAAAAATAGGTTATAAAACATGGTATTCAGTTGATTCCAGTTTTGAAAAAGAAAGTGTACATAAGGGATATACTCTCCAAATATTAGCAGTAGTTAATTAACCTCTAGGAGATGGAATTATGGGTGTCTTTAGGTCTGTCTTTTTTACTTACCTGTATTCTCTAAATTGTCCACAATGAATGACTCTAATAGGAAAATATTTGCTAAAACAAGTACAGAAGTGAGAAACCTTATTATTACTTATTATATGTAGCTTCTTTGCTTGACAGACACAATTCTTTCAAAATGGGAGACTCTGAGGAAAAACAATCATCTAATGGTAGAAAGGTTGGAAGCCCCACTGGGTCCCAGGGCAGGTCAGGCTGAGGTGAGGGAGTCACGTGGAAGGTGTAGGTAATACTCACAGCCAGCTTCTCCTTGACCACGCTGGCCGTGGCTGCAATGGTGCAGGCTGTGTCATGCTGCACCACCTGCGTGAATTCTGTCAGGTCCCGCTTCATGAACTCCAAGGCTTCGGAGGACTATGGGAAGACAGAGAGGGACAACAGAGTCAGCTGGCTCCACTGCCCTTTGTTCTTGTTCCCTGTGCTTCTTCAGTACCAGACAGACACATGGAAAACTCATGTGACATGGGAATCCTGAACTCAGAAACAATGCTTACTTGTTTCAATTCTAGGACCTGGGATTACCTGACAGCAAAGAGCACGAAAGGAACTTCCTGCTCTGTACAGGGACTCAGTCTCAGCCACTTAACAAGCTTTGTGGCTGTGAGTAACTCTCATCTAGTTCTCGGTTTGCTCCTCATGAAGAGGTGAACTAGATCAGTGGCTCTCAAGAGTGGACTGGGGAAGGGGGCAAATGTAGTCTAAAAACAAAACAGACTCTGATGCAGTGTTTTGATATGCTTTGAGTCATGGCATTTGTTTCAAATTTCAAATAATGTGAAGAAAAGGTGTGTGATTGTTTTATCAAAGGAAAATGTTTGTTACAGAGAAAGAGAAATTCAGTTGAAATACAAGGCAGTATGTGAAATTGTTTGAAAGATTTAATGAACATGTTGCATTAGTAACAGCAATAGTTTACAAAGCTTTTATGAGTAATTTTTGACAATTTAATACCAGTAAAAAGGGCTGTGATTTTTACAAAGGGGGTGTTATGAGAAACACTGGATTGGATTTTCTTGGAGGCCTTCTTGGTGCCACCATTCCAGGGTTCTATTTACCCACAGAGCTGCTTTGGGCAGAACTAGTATTTGCTACTGTGGACCCATCTGCTTCTCACCCTGCATGCAGACTCAGCTTGAGACAGACAGCAGGTCTTCAGCTCTTGGCTAAGTCTTGCCCTGTCTTGCTTCATCCTCCACTTTAGGACACCTTCCTGGACTATCTCTGTACTTGCTCCTGCAAGTCTCCTCATTTCACATGGGGCTAATCAGCTGCAATTTTATTAAGCATGTTTTTGAGTATTCTGGTGGTTTTTTATTTGGGCCTGAGTAGTTTTTCATCAGCCTGGGAAGTCTCTGAATGGGACAGTCTCATCTCTCAGCCAGAGGTTTCTCTTGGGGTGGGAGTCATGCCTTCATTTCAGACTTGGGACTCCTTCACTGGGACGGAGAAGTCAATTCCCTCTCCCCACCCACGGTGCCATGCCTTAGACCAGGCCAGCCTGCTCTTTCATCTGGACTCCTTAGATTGCATCAGATACCTCCACTACATTCTCCTTGTGACAGCAGTGGGAATTCTGTAGATCAGAGCAGACCATGCTGCCCCAGCTTTACAGTCTTCAGTGGTTATACAGTATCCTATGAGCAAATATAAAATCTTTACCTTCACTTACAAGGCCCATAATCTCGCCTCTGGCAGACTGTATCCCCTATCACTCACTGTGCCCTCATTGAGCTCCAGCTGGCCTTTCTCAAGTTTTTCAAATGCTCTAGCACTTTCCCCCTCTACAGGGTGTGTGAACACATTATTCCCTCTCCTTGACACACAGTTCTAATTCTTCAAAACAAACAAGTGAACACAGTGAACCCTCCCGCCTGGTTAACTCTGGTTCTTCCTTCAGATCTACGCTAATATGTCACTTCCCTAGAGAAGCCTCCCTGATGCCACCTCAGACTAGACTGGCTCTCCGGTTTCACATTTCCAGGGCACCTGCATGTTCTCTTAACATCTTTCATATTTAGACTTATGATTATCCATTCCATTAGCTATCTTTCTAGATAAACTGTTCCATGAACATAGAGTCCATGTTATTTGTTCACTGATGCCTTCCCAGTGTTTCTTGAAATGTTTGCTAAATCTACATGTACGAGGGCAATTTTAATCAGATAACGATTTGCATGATTAATGAATTGTTGTCCCTCACTACACTGTGAGCTCTGAGGGGTCAAATATGAACAGATAGGGTGCTTGCCCTTATGAAGGTCAATCTACTGGAGAAAATGCTCCCCTAATAGTGCTAATGTGCAAAGACAGAGGGTATTATGGGGAGTTTGGAAAGACTTGGTGAAGGGAAGCCTGGTCTGAGCCCTAAAGAATGAGCAGGAGTCAGCTAAGGGAGCCCGGGCAGCAGAAAGGTCCAGGAAGATAAGGGTTGAAAACCACCCACTGGATTTGGCAAGTGGTATGTGAAGTTGAGTGTGTGTAGAGATTAGTTTATGTGGTAGCTTCAGGGTTGGGGAGGGAGTTGAGAGATTACCCTGTTGACCTCAAAATTTAAAAAGTAGGATGTGAGGTTGTCTTCTGGAAGTAAAAGAGGAAGTGGCTGAACAGAAGACTTGGGAGAAGAGTTAAGTTTGGGGAAAGTTTCTGAAGGCAAGGGGAGGAGAAGCAAATTAAAACTGAAAAAGCTTGGGGTTTACCGAGACTTACAGACATTTGAGTCCCAAACTTTTACCTAAAAGGTAAAGCAGAAGTGGTGAGGGATGAAGCTGGATAGGTTGCTGCAGGCAATGTGGGTGACAGGGAACTACCAAAGGTTTGAAGGGGGTGAGATGTGATGAAATTTGCATTTCTGATAGGTCACTCAAGTGACTGGCACGGAGGATAGGTCCAAGAGTGACAAGGCCCCTGAAACGCCACACCTTTCAGGTTCACTCATGAGACATCAGGAAAGGAAAGCCTGGAAAAGTTATGTGGAGATCTGAGAGAGAATTATGCCACAAAAGCCAAGGGAGTAGAATTTCAAGAAAGAGGGAGTGATCACTAGTGTCAAATGCAGCAAAAAAGTCCAGGAAGATAAGGGCTGAAAACCACCCCACTGGATTTGGCAAGTGGTAGGCGAAGCTGAGTGTGTATATAGATAAGTTTGTATGTGGTGGCGTCAGGGCTGGAAGGGAGTTAAGAGAAATCATGTTGTTGACCTCAACTTTAAAAAGTAGGAAGTGACCCACCAAATGGGTAGGAAACACCACTGAGTGATTTTAGGCTGTCCTTCCACAGATGTCAAGCAAATTGCTTCTTCCTATGTATTCCTATGAAAGCAAGGTTGACAGAAAATAAACAGTTTCTAGAAAAAAAGAAAAGTAGGAAGTGAAGTTGTTTCCTGGAAATAAAGAAGGAAGTGGTTGAACAGGAGACTTATGGGAGAGTTGGGTTTGGGGAAAGTTCGTGAAGGCAAGGGGAGGAGAAACAAACTGAGACTGAAAAAGCTTGTCAAAGTGAGGCTGGGGAATCTGTGGTGGGGCCAGGGAATGATGCAACTTTCTCTGCAAGCATCTGTGGGCAACGTAAACACACAAATGCACATGCTCCAGTGGATAGGTAAAGGGCAGAGAAAGGCAGATTATAGCACCATCTTAGAACTGTAGTCTCTGGGGCAATGTACGCTAAGGGGTTCAAGGGGACTGAGTGGTCCAGATGGAGCCAGAATGGGAAGGGAAGGAGACAAGGCCAGGAAAGTACTGAAAGACCAAGAAAAACATGGAAAGATAAACTGACTGGTGGTGTTTCAAGATGTTTGCCCATCACTCTTAGCAGTCAATAACAACAGCTAATGCTTACATACTACTTACTGTGTATTAAGTATTGTTCTTGGTGTTTCACATATATTGTCATTTAATCCTCACAGCAATACTATCAGGTAGGTATTATTAGTATTCTCATTTTACAGAGAGAAACTGAAGCCTAGAGAGGTTAAATAACTTGCCCGGACTTATATAACTGTAAGCAGCTAAGAGAGGGAAATTAAGTTCTCTTTTTCCAAGTGGGGAATTATCAAAGACAGAAACAATCCCCACATCCTTGCTTCAAAGTGGGACTTCCCCAAGAACAAAGATGGAAGGCTGAGCAACTCTTTTTCATGAGTTATGGTTCAGACCAACTTTGAGAGAAACAAACAAGAGGCCCTCACACAATGCTTGCTGAATGAATGTCAAACTTTCTTCCAGGAGATTATTTAACAGAAAGAAAGCTACTTTGATGTCTTTCTTATTAAACCTCAGTGAGAAATTTTCTTAGTCCTCATCAACAACATAAAGAGCTCAGGGCAATCTCAGATTTGCTGAGCTGTAGCTGAGAGGCTGTCCAGGCGTATCCAGGCTAAAGGAGGAGTTAAAACCAAGTTAAAACGCTCCCAGAGTTGAGGACTAATTTAACAGAGGTCAGAAGCCTCCTGGAGTCTTCCCTGAAGCAAGACTCACCCCAGTTGCTTGGGGTAAATAGTGATTAACTATCTTCCAGGATTCAGTTGGGCTGGTTTTGACGAACTAGCATGGAATGGAATAGGAACACACAATAGCTGTCCACTGGCAGAGCCAAGCCCCACTCATCCCTCACTCAGCCTCAGGGACTGCTGTCTTCCCAGCACACTGAGCTCTGTAAAGCCCAGGATTCCATGTGTATCCTCAGGACCTGTCAGAGTGCTGGCTGTGACAACCCAATATTTGAATGTCTACAGGAATGTTTCTATTGCTATAATTTTTTTTTCCAGTCCTAGATAAAATACTCTGTCTTCTACGAAGGTAATAAATTGCTACGAGCTGTAATAAATTGCTTCTTCCTATGTATTCCTATGAAAGGGGCGCTCGAGCCTTTAAAACAATCGCTACTTCCCTCTGGCTAGTGTCACGCTGGTCTGAGTAGGGGTCAGTCCTCTCGTAGACCGACAGGGGCTAAAAGGAGGACCAAGGTTGGCCTCATCCCCGAGGCCCGGCGCCCACATAGGTCGGACGGGGCCGCGCGGAAGAGGGTGCACTGAGGCTGTGCAGGGCCCTGATGGACGGAGGGCGCTGGCCCGGCTTACCTTCTCCTTGACTGCCTGGTAGCTCTGCTGCAGCCAGCTCCGCCACCACCCCACGTCCTCCCTGTGGAAGAGAGATACATCTGGCGGCCTCGCAATGCGACTCTTGCCCGCACAAAGATCGGGTCCCAGTTTCCCCCTCAGATGTGGTCCGCGGGCCAGGGCTTCAGACTGCTTCCCCACCCCCTCATACTGCAACTCCATCCCGCCTTTTCACCCTGTCCCCGCCCGCTCTGGCCTCCCGTTCCCCACGGTGACCCTGGCCCAGCACCCCAACCCTGGGAGAATTCAGGCCCCAACGCCCGGGAGCTGAATGACGGGCTCACCCTTCCGCCATCTTGCCCGCATGACATCACCACTATTTACCGACCTTTGACTTCCGACACGGCACCGCCCCCTCAAGCACCGCCCCGAAGAGCTCGGTCCAATCCTTGCGCCGAAAAGGCCCTCAGTCCAATCTCCGTCCCGGGCCATCATTAGGCCCCGCTTCCTTGAGCTCGGTCCAGTCTCTGCCCAGAGTTCGCCCTTAAGCCCCGCCCCCTAACGCTCAGTCCAATCCTTACTCAGTTCTGTCTTCAGCCCACCCACCCCAGGGGTTAGCCTCCCCACCCCCACCAACCTCGCATCCTTCTCGGTATCATCTGACATGAGATACGGTGGCCACTAGGGGCCAGAGTGCCCATTAGGCTGTACAGTCTGCGGCTGGTAGATGGGGAGCCAGAGTGCAGCTCGAACGTCTGGATCCCAGAGCGCAGGGCTAGGACCAACCCCCCTTTATGAAAGCAGCCACGTAGCAGCTGCCTGGGGTCTTTTTGGGCGAATTCAACAAGTGCAGACTGGGGGCTCTGGGCCAGGATTTGGAGGTGTGTGAAAAACTCAGAGGTGACTTCGATGCAACCTCTGGAGGGGCTCTCAGGATACTGGAGAGAAAGATAACTGTTACCTCAAGTCTTGGCGGCCAAAATCGGAACGACGTGAGCTGGATGTGGTCAGGAGAAATCAGGAGACCGCCTGAACGAGGGGGATTGAGCTGCCAGAGAGAATGAGAGAGACAGAGACGTTCCGGAGGAGGAGGCTTCCACTGCTTTTACTGCTTCATCTGCTACCCATACATTTTGCACTAGATCCCGTCTCCTGTTGTATATTTAGGGGCGTTGTTTTAGTAATTTCTCCTCCGCCCGCCCCCGCCCCCCGTTCCTTTTTCCCGTTTACAGGGTTATCCCTGTCTTCATACATGCTGTTATGTCTCCCATATTAAAAGCATGCAAACAAACAAAAAGCAACCCTCTCCTGACCCGGACACCATTTCCTTATCCCCCTTTACAGTAAAACTCCCGAAACAGTTGCCTCTGCTCACTGTCTGCAACTCCCCTCTCCTCCCATTCTCTGTTGAACTCACTTCAATCAGGTTTTTCCCTCCCCACAATCCGTTGAAATAACTTTAAGATGCCAAGAGCAATGGCCAATTATCAGTCCTTATCTTTGAACCATCATCATCTTATTTGACAAGTTGATCACTTTCCTCCTCCTTCAAACACTCTTCACTTTGCTTCCAGAATACCATGTCCTCCTGACCTGCCTCCTACCTCACTCGCATCTCCTCAGCGTTCTTTGCTGTTTTCTCTTTTCATCGACCTCTTGTTGCTGGAATGTCCCAGGGCTCAGTCCTTGATCCTCTCCTTTTCAATGTCTATAATCATTCATCAGATGAGCTCATCAAGTCTTAGGATTTTAAATGCCATCTATACACTGCCAACTCTCAAATTTTCTCTCCAACCCACACATCTCTGAACACTAGGGTCACTATCTCTGTTTGTATGTATAATAAATAGGCTTATTAAATTTAACATGACCCTAAACTTCTGATGTTTCCAACTCAACTTCCTGCCAACTTCCCGAAAGCCATAAAAAGAATACGCAGCCTTGTGCCCCCAAGTTGCTCAAGTCAAAATTCTGGGAGACACCTTTGATTCCTCACTTTCATACTCCAAAGCTAATTCCATGGCAAATCTAGTGGGTTCTACCTTTAAAACAAAACCAGAATTCAGTCACTTCTGTAACCAACACTGCTATTCTTTAGGCCCAAGCCACCATCATCTCCCATTTGGATAAATGTAAGAGCCTCTTAACTGGTGTCTCTGTGTCCAGTCTTGCCTTCCTATAGTCTAGTCTTAATTCCTCCTGAAAGTAATCTTTTGAAAAACATGAGACAAGGGGAATGTAAAATGGTATAGCTGCTTAAAAAACAGTATGGTGATTTCTAAAGAAATTGAACAGAATTATCACATGACCTAGCAATTCCATTTCTAGGTATATACCCAAAAGAATTGAAAGCAGGAACTCAAACAGATATGTGTACACCTATGTTCATATCTGCATTATTCACAATAGCCAAGAGGTAGAAGTAACCCGTGTCCATTGACTGATGAATGTATAAATGAAATGTGGTATATACATACAATGAAATTTTATTCATTCTTAAAAAGGAAGGAAATTCTGACATGCCACAACATAGATGAACTTTGAAGACATTATGCCAAGTAAAATAAGCCAGTCACAAAAGGACACATATTGCATGATTCCACTTATGGACATACCTGGAGTAGCCAAATTCAGGAAGTAGAAGAGTGGTCACCAGGGGCTGGGGTGAGGAGGGAATGGGGAGATTATTGTTTGATGGGTATGGCATTTGAGTTTGGAAAGATGAAAAATTTCTGGAGATGGATGATAGTTACAGTTGCATAACAATATGAATGTACTTATTGCCATTTACTGTATACTTAAAAATAGGTAATATACACTTTATGTATTTTTTATCCCAATTAAAAAATATGTAAATCAGATCATGATCTTCTGCTCAGAATTCTCCATTGTCTTCTTATTTCATTCAGAGGAAAATCCAGCAAGGCATCACAATTTCCTTTAAGACCCTTGATAGTTGATATGACCTTGAACTACTGGCCCTCTTAGTTCCTGTGCCCCAGCCACACTGGCCATTTTGATGTTCCTTGAAAATTCCCAGCATTCACATGACTGAGGGCCTTTGAACTTGCTGCTCCCTCGGCTTTGAACGCTCTTAACCCTGATATCCGTGCTTCAAACTTTCACCTCCTTCAAATCTTGACCCAAATAACATTTTCTTAATAAATCCACATTAGTTTAAATGGCAACTTGAAGCTCCCAGAATTTCCATTCCTCTTTTCTGCTTAATTTTTCCTGCATACCGCTTGTCACCATCTGGCATACTATACATTTTACTTTTTTTTTTACATTGTCTGCCCATCTCCGACTAGAAATGTGATCTTCATGAAGGCAGGGATTTTTGTTTATCTGTCTACCCCCAGCACCTAGAACAGTGCCTGGAACATAATAGACAGTTTTTGTTGAGTAAATGAAAGAATAAATGTAAGGAGAGTAAGGAAGAAGTCAGGACTAGTTTGGAGCAAGCTGGAGTGGCTAAAAAAAAAAAAGGGAAAAGAGATGGAGATGAGACTTTTTAAAGGTCATTGAGCTCTGAATTCCTGGATGCAGGGCTAAAAATTCAAATCTAATCCTTGGACAGAAGAGAGTCACCAGAGGTTTTTGAATAAGGAAATAATTTATTCTGTGAGGATGATGTAATCAACTGACCATATGCAACTGTTAATAGGTCTAATGGTGCTATTTATTAGCAGGTGAGCATTTTACACTGTACCTTGTACAGTCTTCCCAATAGCTCTGTGAGGCAGGAACTATTTTTAATCACCATTTCAGTTGAAGAAGTTGAGTGACTTCCCCAAGGTCACATAGCTAGGAAATGGCAGAACTCTGATTCAGACCCAAGGCTGTCTAATAAAATCAAGTTTCTTTACATCTCCTATGTTTTAACTTCACCCAGGCTCAGATCCCGCCTCCTCACCCAGCCAATAAGCTGCAGACAGGCAAGGACTGCATTCTATCCTTTATATATATCCACCTTCTATCATCCCCCGCCCTTCCCAGCCCAGCACAGTGCTTTCCTATGAGGTCCTCAGTGTGTGTGGACTGAGTGGGACCCTCTATTTAGATTTCTCTGGGCTTCCCCATCTCTTTATCCCCACAGCTTGTCTCTTGGCTCCTTTCACTGGCATCAAGCCGATCTGGATTCAAATCCAGCTCAGTCACTTCTCAGCAATGTGGCCTTAGTCAAGTTAAATTCCCCTAGCTTTAGTATCTTCCTCATTACAATGGGGATACTGCTTCTGGTTGTTTTGAGGATTCAGGAAAATCAGTAAAACACATCATGTGACACAAAGTTCTTAATGTGGTGATTATTATTGCCTTAGCTCCTTACCCCTTTCCTCAGAGCCTAACACAGGGCTAGGCACTGGTAGAGGGTTAATAAGCATCTGTTGAATTAAATGGCATATTAAAAGAACACTGGAAGGGGAACTCTCCTACACTGGTGGTGGGAATGTAAATTGGTCCAGCTGCTCTGGAAAGCAGTATGGAGTTTCCTCAAAACACTAAAAATAGAAATACCGTAGGATCCAGTAATTCCACTTCTAGTAATTTACCTGAAGAAAATAAAATACCTGATTTGAAAAGATATTTGTACCTCTATGTTTATCGCCACATTATTTACAACAGCCAAGTTATGGAAGCAACCTAATTGTCCATCAACAGATGAATGGATAAAGAAGAAGTGGTTCATAGATACAATGGAATATTATTTAGCCATAAAAAAAAAATCCTGCCATTTGCAACAACATGGATGGATCTAGAGGGTATTAAGCCCGGAAATAACCAGGCAGAGAAAGACAAATACCATATAATTTACTTATTTGTGGAATAAAAAACCAAAATGAACAAAACAGCAGTAGACTCTTAGACACTGAGAAGTGACTGGTGGTTACCATGGGAGAGGGGTTGGGGTGGGGGCTGTCCCAGGAAGATGAGGGGGATAAAGAAGCACAAAAATTATCATAGTATAAATTGGCCCTGGAGATAGTAGTACAGCCTGGAAAATATAGTCAGTGATTCTGTAACATCTTTCTATGTTGACAGATAATAACCACACTAGTTGGGGTGAGGATTTAATAATGTGGGTAACAACTGTTGAGCCACTGTGTTGTATATTTGAAACCAATATAAAATTGTATATCAATGATACTTTTAAAAAAAGAACAGTGAATTGGGAGTCAGCAGAGGTAATTTTAATCCTGGGTTATGGGCATTGGTCACTTTTTCTTTCTGGAGCTGTTTTTCACCATCCTTGGGACTTCTAAGCTCTCTTCTAGCTCTTAGGATAAATTCACCCCAGAGCGACCTTCAGATCCTCCTTTGACCCATATCCCTCCTCCTGGTTTGCGGGGGCTCCTTTAGGCAAATGATTCTTCTCCCTGGATCGTCC